CACACACACACACACACACACACACACACACACACACACACACACACACTTAAAAAATAATAAATCTAAAAGTATAAAACATTTCAAACACCCCAGTTAACCCTTTTTTGGCAAATGGAGCCCTCTACTCTTACTCAAAAGAATTATTTTGATGTCTCTGTCAATTTAGCTCACATGTACACATATGTGGTAGGCACATGGGTACACATGAATGTGTCATGTACATACAACTACATGAGAAGATATGGAGTATATCATGTGGAAAGTGTACACAGGTACAAAGGCCAGATGAGAAGGTGGAGGGGAGTGATCTATCACTCCCTTTTTTATTTCCTTAAGAACAGCTTCCTTGCTGAACTTGTGAGGTTGGTGGTTGACAGGCCCCAGCATTCCTCCTGTGTGCCCACTACTCCTAAAGCTAGAGTTACAGGAATGGCCGCAACTGGCATTTGACATGTTGTGGTGATTTGAAAGAAAATGGCCTCCAAATGAGGTGGCACTATTAGGAGGCGTGGCCTTGTTGGAGTAAGTGTGGTTTTATTGGAAGAAGTGTGTCACTGTGGAGGTGTGGAGACTTTGAGGTCTCATATATGCTCAAGATACCACCCAGTGTCTCAGACCATTTCCTGTCGTCTGCACAATGTAGGACTATCAGCTATTTCTTCAGCATCTTGTCTGCCTGCACACCACCATGTGTCACATTATGATTGTAATGGACTGAATCTCTGAACTGTAAGAGAGCTACCCCAATTAAATTTTCCTTATAAGAGTTGCCATGGTCATGGTGTCTCTTCACAGCAATAGAAACTCTAAGACACATGTGTTCTGGAAATTAAACTTAGGTTCTCATTCTTTCCAGAAAGAGCTTTTGCCCCCTGAACCACCCCCCTAACCACAATAACTGATTCTAATATGACAATAATTTCTGGGTGTGATAGCTCATCCCTCTTGGGAAGCTGAAATATGAGGGTTGCTATATGACTGAGACCACCCTTTACTATTGTGCTGGCTAATCTTATGTCAACTTGACATAAGCTAGAGTAAAAAGAGCAATTGAGAAAATGCTTTCATAAGATTCAGTTGTAAGGCATTTTCTTAATTAATGATTGGCGGGGGAGGAGCCAGCCTATTGAGGATAGTGTCTATCATCCCAGACTGGTAGTTCTGGGTTGTATAATAAAGCAGACTGAGCAAGTCATGAAGAACAAGTCAGTAAGCAGCTCCCCTCCATGGCCCTTGCATCTGCTCCTGCCTTCAGGTTCTAGCCTTGCTGGAGTTCCGGTCCTGACTTTCCAGTGATCAACTATGATGTAGAAGCACAGTCAAAATAAGTCCTCCAACTCTCCCTTTTTTTCAGAACAATCTAAGTCGCTTTTAATCCCTCTCTATTGCCATACAATTTTAAATCCATTAGTCAGTTCCTTTCTCTTCCACCAACAGACAACACAAAAAGCTTTAAGGATTTCTAACTGGGATTGCACGGAATCTACAAATCAATTAAAATACATCTTAATAATATTTATTTTAATAAGTACAGAGGTTCTATACACTGTGATTACATTTACTCTTCATTTTTTATGTTTTGATTTTATATGTTATTTTGAACTATGAATTGTTTATAATAGACAGAAATACAATATATACTCATATATTGGCTGTGTTTTGATACAACTGGGCTAAACTCACTTTTATTTATAGAAATCTGCTTTAAATACCTTCATTTTCTATAAACTATAATAATTTTTTGTATTAACAATAAATGTTTTGCCTATACATATATATGTGTGTACCATGCATATGCCTGGTACTCTTAGAGGCCAGAAAAAGGCATCAGATCCCCTGGAATTGAATTTACAGATGGTGTGAGCTAACATGTGGATGTGGGTCTCTGCAAGGACAGTGACTGTTCTTAACTAGTGAGCCACCCCTCCAGCCACTAATTTCATTTTATTATTTAGTATATGTTCTTATAGTGCTAGAAATTACACTAGATTTTCTGACATGATGAATAAGTGTTCTACCACTGAGTCACATTCCCAGCTCTTAAATTATAATCATTTCAAATGTAAATAATACATTTGAAAATATTTTAATTCATTTCCTTATAATACCTGTCTTATTTCTAAATCATCCTGATGTAGGTGGGTCTTCTATCTATCTGCTGTTTCATTGGTTAATTAATAAAGAAAACTGCTTGGCCTGATAGGTCAGAACATAGGTAGGTGGGGAAGACAGAACAGAATGCTGGGAGGAAGAAGGCAGTGAGGCAGACGCCATGGCTCTCCTCTCCGAGATGGACGCAGGTTAGGATCCTTCCTGGTAAGCCACCACCTCGTGGTGCTACACAGATTACCAAATATGGGTTAAAGCAAGATGTGAGAATTAGCCAATAAGAGGCCAGAACTAATGGCCCAGGCAGTGTTTAAAAGAATACAGTTTTCATGTAATTATTTCAGGGGTAAGCTAACCCAGGATCCAGGCAAGAAAGCAGCCCGCTGCTCCTTCTGCATCATCCCTTCACTGAACTGGCTAGAATGTTTCACACAGGGTTAAATGAGAGAGATATTACGTGAAACTGTGTAAGTTTAGGAAGAGAACCCAACTTAAAATTTTCTATCTAACTGGAAATTAGGAGTTCATTAGACTAAGTATTAGAAACATTTGTTCTTTTTAGTTTTGTGAACAAATTAGGCAGTTTTCCCCCAGGTAACAATAAGTCTGATGGTAGGCAGTCTAGCTGTGATATAGAACACTACTGTGCTTCCTCTGTCTTCTGACAAAACTCTCCATGGGTTGTCTTCACAGTATCACACATACTTTGTAAATTCATAGGCAAGCAGTCGAAGGGCAAAGGATTAAAAAGTACTGACTTAGCTTTTATAAAAACTTTCTTCTTTCAACATTTTTCTTTTCCCCATTCTGGGATCAAATGAGGGTCTTGCACATTCTCGTTATACACTCTACTACTGAGGTATATCCCCAGATTGAATAACTTTCTTCATGCCCACTTAAGACCACATAACAGCCTCATGCTACTTAATACCATGGGCATTTTCTCAGAGACATGTCATCCATATTTGATTTTTTTATAACTTATAGTGTATAGTTACATAAACTCAGATATTAACACTTGATGTGACCTATTGATGCTACCAAGAAATGCCCTAAAAATGAGCTGCTTAAAGCATATTATTCTAACAGAAAAATTTTAATAAAGAATATGCTCCAAAATGATAAAAGTACAGTATACTAAATGAATAAACAAGTCACACAGCCATTTATCATCATTGTCAAGCATTTTGTGCTGTACACAACTGTGTTGTTACACTTTAATAAAACTGGCAGCTCTGTAGGTTTCTTTATATAAACATCAACACAAACACATAGTACACTGTGCTGTTAATATTACAATGGCTGTTATCACTAGAAAATATCACGTTTCAGCTCAATTAAAACTTTACAGAAGCAGTACAACACATGACATGTATCACATTTATTGTACATCTCACTGACACAAACCATTCCATGGCCATACTACCTACAAAGGAATCTGGAAAAATACAGAGGTGGATTGTTTTTGAGGAAATAACATTTCTAAGAAAAGCCTCTAGAAGTTCAACTTCTGTTACTAAAGAAGAGGAGAGGAGCTGGAGAGATGGAAAAGCGGTTAAGAACTCATGCTGCTCTTGTAAAAGACCTGAGTGCAATTCCCAACACCCATGTCGTCAGGCACCTCAAAACTGCTTGTAACTCCAGTTGTGGGGACCCATAGGCTTCTTCTGGCCTCCTGGTCTTCTGCATGAATGTAAACAATAACAAACACACATGCACACAAATAAATCTTTTCTTTTTAAATGGGAAGAGAGATGGCAAGAAAGTGTCTATATAAGTGATAAGCTTTGCCTTCTGTAAGTCTGGCCTCTGAGTTAATGATGTTGAGAAGGAATAAGTATGATATGAAAATTCACAGATCTATTAGAAAACAAGCTCTGAAACACAGTACAAAATTTGAGAGTTCTAGACCAAGAAATTTTAATTTGCATACACTAATTACACAGAATTGTAGATTTTACTTTGGCAGATTCATACATGTATACAATTGAAGACATTTTTATTCCCCACGTCTTTTCCCCCATCCTTCCCTTCTACTCAAATCCTGTCACACTTTTCTAATAACCTCTTGTCCTATATTCACACATTTTGTTTTCTATGACTTTCATAAATAAGAAAAAACAGGAGTTACTTATCTTTCAGAGTCTGACTTAATTTATTTCCATTTTCCTGAAAATGACATAATTTTGTTTTCTTAAAGCTGAATGGTATGTCATTTCTGTCTCTGTCTCTCTCATGCGTGTTTTCTTTAAATGGGAGGGGAGATGGCAAGAAAGTGTCTATGTAAATGTTAGACAGATACCTAGATGGATGCCATAGCTTGGACATTGGAAACACAGCTATACAGGTGTCTTTGCATTATGCTGATTCTGATTCCCTTGGGGATGTACTCAGAACTAGTAGAGCTGGATCATAGGGAGGCTCTGTTTTCAATGTTGATGAGGAATCTCCATACTGATTTCCACAGTTGACAGTGCTAATCCCCATGACTAGTGAATAAAGGCTCCTCCTCCTCCTTCCCTTCATCAGCACTTGTCACTGCTTATTAAAGATCCATTGTCCTAAGATGAAATCTCAATACAGTTTTAACTTGCATTTCCCTAATACCTAACGACACTGAGTTTTTATAATTATTAGACAGCTCTACAAACTCTTTTGAGAACTATGTAGATGACCTGCTTATTTATTGAGCTTTACTGCTTAGCTTTGTTATTTTTTTCTAAGCTCTTTGTATACGCTGGATACTAAGCCTCTGTGGGAAGAGTAGCTAGCAAAGATTTTCTCCCCTGCTGTAGGCTGTCTCTTCACTTTATTAACTGTCTCCTTTCCTGTACAGTTTGTTTTAATTTGATGGAATACAATTTGTTGATTCTTCTATTCCATAGACAATGGAGCATATTCCCAAAGTTACTGGCTATAATTACATCTTGAAGCATTTGCTTTGTTTTCTTCTATCAGTTTCAATGTTCCAGATCTTACATTAAGGTCTTGGGATTGATTTATGTACAGGGTGGGATATGAGGATCTAGCTTGAGTCTTCTATATGCAAATATCCTATTTTCCCAGCAACACTTGTAGTCCATTGGTCTACTGCTTGCTTTTGTGCTGGTCCCAGAGAGCTGCAATAACAATAGCTCTAAAGTATAACTTGAAATCCGACATTGGGAGACTTCCAATAATGTTCTTCATACTTGGGACAACTTTACCTATTACAGGTCTTTGTGTTTCCATAGACATTTTAGGATATTGTTCTAATTGTCTGAATAATGGAATTCAAATTTAGAAGGTGATCAAATGAACTTCTAGATATCTCATTTTCATACGGCTATTTTCTCGATACTAAATCTGTGGATACAAGAACATGGAATGTCTTTTAATTTTCTAATTTCTTCTTCAACTTCTTTCTGCAGTGTTCTTTCATTATAGAAGCCTTTTACCTCCTCAGCAAGGTATGACAACTACTCTTCACTATGAGTTTGACTGGACTTAGAATCACCGAGAAGCCGTACTCCTTCAAAGAAGTTTGATAATGGGAAATACACCCAGAAGGTCCAAAGGTAAAATGAAAATAAGAAAGTAAGCTGAGCACCAACGTTCCTCTCTGTTCTCTGACAGTAGACACAATGTGACCAGCCACCTCACAGTCTTGTTGTCATGCTGTCCTCATCATGATGGACTGTATCCTCACACTGTGAGTCGATATGAAACCTCCCTTCATGAGTCGCTTTTCTCAATTATCTCATAACTACAGTGAGAAAAGTAATGAACAAGGCTTGTTCCTAGATATTCTTTTTGCTGTGAATGGGAGTGCTTTCCTGATTTCTTCCTCAGCAGGGTGGTTATTAATGTGTGGAAAAGCTATTATTTTTGCTTGTATGCTGATTGTGTTGTGTATCACTTGGCTGAATTGTTTATCAGATCTAAAATTCTGTTATAGAAAAACCCAAGCAGCTACAGCCATCTGGACTGTAACAAATGGTCTCATCTGGAAAACATCAGCTTATCCTGCAGCTGCTGGTAGAACACTCTGCAGTTGTGTCTACAGAATCGGTGATGTGGTTTCACTCTGTGGCTCTTTTTGTTGACATTTTTGTCTGCATGATCCATTTATGTGAGGGGGTACTGATTTAGTACTTTGGGATCTATCTTCAACCAGGAAGGTGTGGTACTTCAAAAATCAAATGAAGTTTTCTAACATCGTACTTAGAAGCATTAAGAAAATGTCCTTATCTGTAAGTAAAAGTATCAACTCTATTTCCAGAAATCAAGACCGTTTCATTTCTTCCTACACAGTAAAGATATCTAGGTAAATAATTCTTCTATCTCGGTATCTTAGCAGATATAGACTGTCTCATCAACTGAAAGAGATTACTAATTTCAAGGATGAACAGGATATTTAAGTAAAAATTATTTTATGTTACACATAGTTTCTATTTCTATGTTAACATATGCAATTTGACACAGAGATGCTACATTTCAGTGACCTCTGTTAAAATGTTTGTGGTTGAAATGTGTTTACGTATTTTATTAGAATACCTTAAAAGCACAGAGGAGAAAAGATGGACATGCTCGGTTATCTACTATACTTCTACACATCAGGTGTCTCTATTAGCCACATGTCTGATTCTGGCTGCTTCCATTCTTCTCCAAGCAGCGTGTTAAGACTGAAAGGCTTGAAATATTCCAGACGATGGCTAAAAGTAAACAAAGGAAGAAATGGAAGTGAATTATGTATTTGTGAAACCGTGGTCCTATAGAGCTATTTGTTTTGTCGCACTGATGATAGTACAACACTCCATTTTAAGGAATAACAAATGCTAGATGTATTCTCTGTGTACAATTTTCTCATTGTAGCTATCAAGTACTCGGTTCTAAAAACATTCACCCATATTTCAAAGCAGTCTTCTACAGTTCTACACATAGTTCCCTCACAGCTCAAGGGGAAAGTAAATATCAGCTCTCAAGGGGCTCAGTAAAGTGTCTGCTAAGTAAACATGAATTCAATCCTCAAAACACACATAAAAATGCCAGGTGTAGTGGTGCTGGCTTGTAATCCCCGTGCAGGGAAGGCAGTGACAGAATGATACCTGTGACTCACTGGCTAGGCAGCTCGTTCTTAGTGGTAAGCTCCAGGCCAGTGAGAGACCCTGTCTCAAATGATGTGGGCAGCATTCCGCAAGAACAGCACATGAAGGTATCTTTGGGACTCTATCTGCAAGGACACAAGTGCACGCGCATGCATGCGTGCAAACGCACACGCGCGCGCACACACACAGACAGACAGACAGACACACACACACACAGTCTAACTCATTTTAGCTGTAAACAAATCACAAGTTCTTGAATATGTTCTTAAACTTTGATAAATTCTGGTGAATAAAGGACAAAGACAGATGTATGTTCTTTCTTTGCCAAAGTAAAGGAGGCTAACAAAGAAGAGCAATAATCTTTTCTTTCCAGAAAAACCATTATTATCCTGAAGTGTTCTCTTTCGGCTTAGTGAGCAAAGAAAGGCTTTCATCTATGCTTCTGTAAAGCTCAGAGCTATAGGAAATCGCTCTGCCATCCTTCCTCCCTAGCCAGTGTGCACTCTGGGAAGGTACCAGCAAGTGAAAGGTAAGAGTGGCACAAGGCCTTGGTATGATGGCTTTCAGTGAGTGGCACCTAGATTTCTATTCCTGTCTGTGCACCTGGCCAGGGTGAACCAGTTTAGAGTAACATCAATAAATCCCAGAGTAAGATGCTAAGGATCAGCAGTGAAGGAAGAGGCAGAGAAAAAGAGAAAGAGCTGAAAGTCCTGAAAGAGTCAGGACTGGGGAGAAAGGAAGAAAGAAAGTAGATGTTTAAGTGTGTCAAGCAGAATGCAAGCATCTGCTAGCAGAAACGAAGGAAAAAGAAGTCAAGTAAAAGCAAGAGGAGTTAAATGTAGAGAAGAAATATGGTGTCATATCAAAAGGGTTAAAAGGCAGGAATGTCTAGCAAGCCTGGTGGTGCCCACTAGGAAGTCTTTGCTAGGCTCTGCTAAACATCCAGACTTTCCAGGGCTGACCACACTGAGTACATTAAGAGACAGACAGTAGGAACCAAAGATTGCCCTACGAAAGTACTAAGTTTTCCTCCTTAAGGGACTAGTCCTTGCAACAATGAATGAAGCATTCAGAAGGCTCTCTAAGAGCTATGACCTTCCTAGATGAAAGATTCAGATGCCAGGAGGCAAATAAAATAGGACAAGTGTTGAAGGTGCCTTGTCTTAAATACCTGCTGTCTCACAGGAGCCACGACCTCTGACAACCACTCAGAGGGCATCAATGTGAGTCCCCACAGATAACATAACTGTTAAAGAGGAATCCCTAAGCCACACAGTCTCCATCATATATTTACAGGTCATTCAAAATTACTTAATGTAGATGTCATTTACTAATTAAGAAATAATCTTATCACAAGCATGGTTACCTAGAAATGTAGTTGATACTCTTATTCTAATGAGGCAACCAAAAAAGCAGAGATATGACTGAGTACAAGATATTTAGTAACAAAAAAGAGTTCCTAACACCTCTAGCCATATCACAAAACACAGATCCCTCTGGCCACCACATTTAGGAAAAGGATCATAAATTAATTTGAAGCCATATCAGTATCTGATGTGGGATTCCCCTCTGTATGTTGTGAATATGTTTTATTACCATTGATTAATAAAGAAGCTGTTTCGGCCAATGGCTTAGCAGAGTAAATTCAGACAGGAAATCAGAACAGAGACAGAGAGCGAAAGTTGGTAGAGTCAAGGAGACACCATGTAGCTGCCAAAGAAGGACACACCAGAAACTTAGAAACCTTACCAGTAGCCACAGCCTTGTGGTAGTACACAGATTGACAGAAATGGGTCAATTTAAGATGTAAGAGCTAGCTAGGAATATGCTAGAGTCATTGGCCAAGCAGTGTTGGAATGAACATAGTTTCTGTGTGAGTATTCGGGTCTGAGAAGCCAGGAAACAAATGAGCAGCATCCATCTAAAAAAGTGCCCAGCGTGGGGCCAACATACATGGTCTGCCACCCATTTCAGGTCCGGGTCCTTGTACACCTGCTCAGGGTTAGAAGGAAAGTAGCTGAGAGCATACCAGCAGCTCAGCAGTCTCTGTCTGGGCAACCTGTCAGATCAAGTCTGCTAGGTATGCACAGGCAGGAGAGCATGGTGGATTCCTGCCTCTATACACAGAGATATTTCTAGGTTCCCAGAGTTCAGGCAGTGAGCACGACAGTCCCAGAGGTGGCAGTAAACGTACCTCCATCACAAGAGATGAGGGGTAAAGTCAGCATCCAGGGCTGCCACAACCAAACTGCTTACTATTTTAAAATGTTCCTTATCAGAAAATGATTTCAGACACACAACAGGACCAATTCAGACATAAAAGACTGATGTGGGAGTTCCCTCTGCGTGCTGTGATTACCATTAATGATTAAAGAGACTGCTTTGGACCTATAGCAAGGCAGAACGTAGGTAGGCAGAGAAAGCTAGGCTGAATGCTGGGTAAAAGAAGGGAGGAGTCAGAGAGACACTATGAAGCTGCCACCAGAGTCAGATACGCTGAAACTTTGCCGGTAAGCCACTGCCACGTGGCGATACACAGATGACTAGAAATGGGATAAATTAATATGTAAGAGTTAGCCAATAAGAAGCCAGAGCTAATGGGTCAAGCGGTGAATTAATTACTACAGTTTCTGTGTGATTATTTCAAGGGTCTGGGCGACTGGGAAAGGAACAAGCAGCCAAGCAGCCTGCTGCTACAAAAGACCTATAAATGGGACACAGTGTGTGTAAAAATGTAAGTAGGCTTGGGAGAGAGGAAAAAGAGTATAGACAGTTACAAAAAGAAATAAGTCTTTAAAGAGACAGTAAAAGTAATATAAAAGAGTACAGACAATCATAGATTAAAGAAGTAAAGAAAAATAAGCCACATAAAGATGGAAAATACACAGAGAATCTGGATTATGTATATTATTGTATTTTCTTTGCATTTTTTTTGACTGCAGAGAGACATTTGATTCTGAGGGGTGCTAATTTAAAGCAAGATATATTTAAAAGTATAAATTTGATTTCAAAATTTTGTCTAAGGATATTTTGCTTTGGCAAAGAGGTTCTGCTTTTGCTTCCAAAGAAGATGAGAACCTGTGGGTTCATTCCAGGTTAATGTGGTTTGATGGAGCAAGACTCCCCCAAAAGGTTTCCGTGAACCCTAAAAATACTTCACCCAACAAACAGCAAAAAGCAGTTTGGAGAAAATTACACCCAAATTCCAAAAACAATTATTTATAAATGTTTGTTTTCATTTAAAGGGAGATAAGATATAGAGATGATTACTTTGCATTGGTATGGACTTTGATCTATTGATACAAATTTAAGGTCAATTTTGTTATACTGTGTATATGTATTTCTGTTCTTGTTTAAAGTATTGTGTTTTTGTAGCTCATTTTAAAATGTAATGTATAATTAAGAAATTCAGATTATAGTCATTTACAATAGTCAAATTTGTAGTCACCTTAGTTAAAGATCTAAGATATGTAGAGATCTATTTTAGTTAGACAGATAATCTTTAAATCCTTCAAAGACCTACAGAATATGACATTTAAAATAGTTTAAGAGCTTAGACTTTCCTTAACAGTGAGACATGCCTGCTTCTGGCAGCTCCAATTACTTCAGAGAGGTTGAAGGACTTTGAAGAAACTACACTCAGAGCTTGTTTTCTTCTTCGCAAAACTGGCCTTTGGGCAAAGAACTGCCCCTGCTTCAACCACTGATAAAATGTATAATGTCCAGACCGGACAAGCAGGATACAAGCAGAAAGACTGCCAAACCTTTCTAAGACAGGGTAAAACAGTTTTTAAATTGTTCTTGCCTCTGAAAATGATTTGCCAGTTACCCTAGGCCTTAGCCAAAGTTGGTTGCTCCAACATTGCAAATAAGACTGTGGGCTGTGGCTGATTTCCCAGGTAGCCAGTTGTCTCTGTCATTTCTTGTCCCTTTTGAAAGTTGATTGATAGCACTTCCTGTTTACTCAAGTAATATTATTTCCCTTCTCAGGTCTTTGATTAGGTTGAAGACTAGATAGTCATAGTTAGTTTCTTCTCATGACTTAGCCAAGCCATTTTTAATATAAGACTTATAATATAAGACACCTTAGGATAGGACAACTATTGAAACATTTAGCATATGTTTCTTGCTTGATGTTGTTCATGCTGGTTGTAATTCTAATTTTTATATACGTTTTTGCCTCTTCTTTTCCCTGGACAATACTTGATATTTGTTCTTTTTTTTTTTTTGTAATTTTATTAAATTATAAAAAGTTTCCATTTACGCCCCTCCTCCCAACGCCCTCCCACTCCCCCCCTCCCTCTCCTCCTCCCTCTTTGTCCCCTAGGGAAGTCAGGGTCTCCTGCCCTGTGGGAAGTCCAAGTTCCTCCCCCCTCACTCCAGGTCCAGGAAGGTGAGCATCCAAACAGACTGGATCCCAAAAATCCAGTATATGCAGAGGAAACAAGTCCCAGTGTCATTGTCAATGGCTTCTCGGAAAGACTGCAGGCCAGCCACATTCAGAGAATCCGGCCACATTCATATTTGTTCTTATTGTATATAGTTTTGTATTAGGTTTAGAACTCTCTTATTTAGACAAAAGGGGGAGGTGCTATGGAAATTCCTTCATCCAATAGTCTTTAAGATACCGGCTCACTTTGGGCATAGCTTCACATACTATAAATGCAGTCCGCAAAGCATGTGCGGGCCTCTTAGCTGCTGGATTTGGTCCTCGTTCCTGGTGCATGCAGAGAACTACAAATCACTACTCTTTCTGTGAGTTTACCCCTAGATAAATAAACCTTTGTTATACTCCATTCCAGGTTAGTGTGAACCTCTTTTGTATGCCAACAAGTATCAGTTGATGTGCACTCACTAATTAATATTCTTCTTATATAATCATGAAAGACTAAGAGCTTTGCTGAAAGTAATGAGATAATCTATCATGGTCAAAAGTAGAGGTGCATGAGGGAACACAGGGCCTTTCATATGTACCCACACGTACCATCATCAACTGTGGTGTGTTACTGTGTGTTACTATTTCCCACCAGGTGGAGGTAGCCTTTAGTTCCAGCACTTGGGAGGAAGAAGCAGGCAGGTCTCAGAGTTTGCAGCCAGCCTGGCCTACAGAACAAGTTCCGCAGCAGCTTCTGTAGTTGGAATGTACCTCCACTTATTTTTTACTTACAAATCAGGCTTTTGTCCTTGCTGCAGTTCACGCTGTGGCACAGGGTAAAGAGCTTCATAACTTCTTCTATCATTTGATCCATGAATTGCAAATGAGTTGAATTTTGTCACATTTGGTGGAAAATAACTCCAAGGAAGAAGAGCTATGCCTTCCCAGTTTGTCTCCCCTCTGAACACTTTGAATGATAACTCAAGCTCTTTCTATGAGAGACATAAAAAGGCAGATTCAAACTTACAGATACACATGCTGTGCATTATAGGATTTGGTTCCATATGTTTGTTTACTCACTTTCCAAATATTTCTTCTTCCAGAGAGTAAAAGAACTAAATGTTGTCCATGTCTGTCAAAATTAAGATTCCTCATGAGTGTTAAAGAAAAACAATAGTAAGACTATACCTTTAGGGATCATTTCTATCCTCTATTACAGGGAAAACAACATTATCTTCCTTACTTTCTTCTCTATCTGTAATGTGTGTGTTTGTAGCTAAATTTCCAAATAAACAAAAAACTACAATACAATATTAGATAACTATAGGGAGAGCCAGTGTCTCACACTATTTAGAAATGGCAGCTTTGGAATTACTGTTTCCTAAACAACTGCTGACAAATCATAACATTTTGCTGGCTAACACTACTTTTCATATTCTTTACCCACTGCACAATCTCACTGGCCCTTGCTTTTCATATTCTCTAGATAGGAAATTATATAAAATACTTCATTTGGTTAGATAACACAACGTATGAAAAAAAAGATAATCATAATACTCACGGCTTAAAATAAAAACAGCTGTAACAACTGAAGCAGCCAAGAAAAGCTGGAGCTGATTTCCAAGTCCTAATCTAATAGCTTAACTAAAGGTTATTTCTGTAAGAAGCATTCTTGAGGCCCATTAGGAAGACAGAAAGCATACAATAGAGATTGGCCAGAACTAGTCAACAAGGCACAGACTTTAACCTATAGCTGTTTTTTCACACTGCTATCTCTGAACAGTCTGCACCTGTTTCCCAGCTTCCTACCATTTGTTCAGGCACCAATGCCACATCTCCAAAAAGAAGCACATCAGAGTCTCAAAAGGAAATTCTAATGGGAATGAATAAGTGGGATTATCGAAGTCTTTAAGAAGCAATGGATTGCATGTATTTACGAGAAGTAAATCTTCTGCCTCTGGAAGTCTATCAAACATTTCCACCCAGATGGTCCTTTGTGAGCTTTTGGAGGGAGCATTTTCTGCAATAAAGAACTCTAACAGAAGACAAGTAATGCTTTCCATTTTAAAATTCTCTGATTAATTTTATGCTTTTATGGGGCTTTAGGAAGATCCTAGAATTCGTAAAAGTTCTTGCAAATTAAAACAATGTTCTTCTTGCTGCTTCTCTAGCTCTTAATTAAGCAGGATAGGAATTGACTGCCTGAGGCAGAACCATGATTCTTGATAATTAACTATTCTGAGGTATACAAAACCAAACTACCCTGAGGATGCTAATTTTAAAAACTTTTATACACAATGGCTACCATGCAGTTTCTTAATGAAAAACTATTTTTTCCATGTATCCAATGTTAGACTGTCACTTCATGAAAATAATCTGATACAATCTAATAGAAGAAAACTGCAGGAGCCAGAACAATGGCTCAGCAGGAAGAGGAGATTGCTGCCAAGCCTGATATCCTAAGTTCAATTATAGGAACTTAGAAAGAGAGAACTTACTCCCGCACATTGTGCCCTGACCTCCAAATACATACATACACATATCTAAAATAAATGAAGAAGTGCTTTTCAAAAATGTAAGACAAATTTTAAAAAAATCTAAGCTTAAACTTGAGAGTTTTGGTAAATCTAAGTTCTTTGTTGTCTTTTAGTCAAATTAGAAATGTTTGTCTTAGCTTGTGGGGCAAAAGTCAGCACATAATAGCTAAAACTTTCCTACATTTCATAATAGCTTATAAGAACTAATCGTAGCTTTAAATAAAATATTTTGACATGCTAGTTGGAAGATAACATGAAAACATATCTACTTATTCTGATTTTTAAAAATAATAGCAGGCGGTCAGGTGGTGGTGGTGCACGCCTTTAATCCTGGCACTCAGGAGGCAGAGATAGGAGGATCTCTGTGAGTTTAAGGTCAGCCTGGTCTACAAAGCCAGTTCCAGTACAGGCTCCAAAAGCTACATAGAGAAACACTCTCTTGAAAAACCAAATAATAATAACAACAGAAACAACAACAACAATAGCAGGCTTCATGTGGTAATTTGCATCTTCATTCACAGAACTTGCAGGCAGAAGCAGGACAATTTTGTGTATTCCATGCTAGCCAGGGCTGCAAGCTTAGAGCCTGTCTCAGAACACAATACAAAACAAAACAAAAACAAATAACTGCATTTTTTCCATGTTAGAGTTAGCAAAAGTAAAACAAAATAAAAAAAGAAACAACTAACAAGTGGGAATCTAAATTTTGTGAAGATTAATTGGTGCTCAATTGTCAGTTTACAAAGGAATAAATACTACTGGACACTAATACTGAGAAATATTTACGTGACATCTAAAATAAATAAGCAGTACAGAAACATCTCATGTATTTAGAGCATGCTATAATTTAGATAACTGGTAAGCGTAAGTTTCCTTATTTTACATCTACTGAGGAGCAGAAGTCTGTCACCATGTAAAGCAAGTTCCCAAATAAATAGTTAAGCTCAAACGAAGAAACTCCAAGACAGTGAATATGTGCTTAAAGACAAGACAAAAAAAAAACAAACAAAAAAAAACCCAAAACTTCCAAAGATAATATTTTTACTGTGACTCTTGGAAAATTCAGGTATGATTTAAATTAGCTTCTTGGCATTAAATGAGAAAATGATATACTATATACTCAAAAGAATGAATGACTACTAAATGAATAAATACATGAATATATAATTATATAATATTTAAAATTAAAGTTCAATCATTCAAAAATCTAAAAGAAACATTTCTGTAAGCTAGAGCTATCTTCACGTGTCCCATTTTTACTAAAAATAAAAATTTTCATCCAATATATTGTGAACACAGTTTCCTCTATCTCCTGGTAGATTCTCCCCCACCCATCTAACACCACACCCCCTTCCTCTCTTTCTTCAGGAAACAAACAGGCATATAAAAAAAATCAGACCAGAATAAACACGTGTGCACATGAGCACAAGCTCCAACACACTCAGAGACACACACACGAACAAAAACAAAACCCATAAAAGAACAAAATTGGAAATCATAACATACAAGCAAAAGACAAGTAAGATTTTTTTTAATGCCCTCAAAAAGCAATAGGAGACAAAAAAAAAAAACCTACAAAAATACCATTGAATTTGCTTTGTGTCAGCCACTTACTGCTGAGCATAGGGACTGCCCTTAAATGTAGTCTGTGTGCCCACTGAGACTCCACTGAGGAAAACTAATTTTTCCATTGCAAGTGGTTGTGAATTAGAGATAATGTCTTTGTTAGGGATCAGAAATCTCCCTTTACTTCTAAATAGCTAATATATCACGGTGCAAACATATAAAGTAATGATTTATTCAGAGTATTTTTTTCTACTTTGTAAAAAAATTATCAAGTTTATTACTAAATCATTTATATCAATAAACCAAAAAAATCACATCAACATAATACACTCAAACATGTAGGATATGTGTGTGTGTGTGTGTAGAATACATATTATAAACATAAATTCTGAAGGTATGCATTGTACAAGACAGTATAAAACAAGATTTAAAACTGACTCCAGTTAATATGACCTCGACTTAGCTGAGCTTTACTACAACCATACTATTTATAACTAGAAAACAAGCATGTTCAAATTATGCAGTAATAGTTAAGATAAACAGTTTATACTTACGGACAAAGTTCAACTTCTAAATACTGCTCAGTTGTATCATTCAAGAAAAATGCTTCCACAACTTATGAAAATAAACAGAACATGGGAAATTTTATTTTGCTTACATAGTAAGTAATTTATTCCTTTCTAATATAAAGTGAATTACTAAGTTTTTAAATCATCATACCACTGCCAGTAGGAAACACAAAGTCTAGTGATGGTGAGACCACAGGGAAGTGAACATGTCTACACAGATGGACTCTGGCCCAGTTATCTTCCTCTTGGAATTTATCCCAAGGAAACAAATCAGACAATTAGAAAAAGAAGTTAAGTACACTTCTACCCATCATGGTATGACTCAAAAAACTAGAAATGATACATCTCTTCCTACACAAAAAATATTTCCTGGTACATAAACAGGCCACCTATTATTCAACAAAACTGACTGGGTACGTTCAGAATGCATACATTTCATGTAATAGAATACAATAGTGCCATGAAAATCGGAGACAGTGAAATATGTACTGGCATGAGAAGACTTCCATGATATTTGCAGGCTGGTTATAGAGCAGTAACTCAATGTATGAGCCAATGAACTGAATGTACATGAGATTTAAACTTGTGTGTGTATGTGCATGTGTGTGCCAGTGACTACCTGTCTACAGCATAGGCACAACAAATATGAAGCGTTGTGAGGATAGCATTGTAGCTCAGCAAAGTGCTTGCTACCAAGCCTAAGGACCTGGGTTAGAGCCCCAGAATCCACATGGTGGGTGGAGACAACCAACTCCCACAAGTCCCCTGACCTCCGCAAGCATGGAAATGTTTTTTTCACACTAATATTTTAAAACTAACTAAAAAAATACTAGTTTATTTGTAAGTGGTGATTTTTATTATAATTTCAGGGGTTTTTGAGCATTAGCTGTTTTAAAAATTAGTTGACTGTGGATGAAGTGCCTCTTTCTTGTAAATAGTTACAACTGCATAAAATACATGAAGGAAAACCCAAGTCCTTTTCTTTCTACATTAGTCTAAAACTTGCCAGACCTTTCCTATGCTTCTATAAATGATCTTACCTCTTAAGATATTTAAAAATAAATATGAAATCATACTTGAGTACAATTTGCTTTTTTTGCATTAAAAACTTTCAGCTGAAGGGTAAATTAAATTTTCATTTAGAGAAGTAACAGATCACTCTGGCTTAGGAAAAGAGTTTACTTCGAAGAAAGGCTCTCTGCTAACCAAGTAAATAAATGCCAATACACCGAGGGAGAAATCTTGGGGTAAATTCTTAATTTCTCTGTAATGCAGTGTTTTATATCTATGGGGATGACACCAAGAACAGTATTTCACAAAGAACCCTGCGTCTTGATGAGGATATAGCACAAGAAGGTCGGAGAACAAACCTGAAAGCATTTAATTTCCTGGAATGTCTTTTGGCCTTAATTTGATATGTGAGATTACTTGACAGCAGAAAGTAAATATTAAATCTCAAGCTGACATTGTTTCTCCAGTAAGTAACACACCCTAAAATTCCCATTAAGGAGGCTTGTAAGGTAAAGATGGTGATTTAAGTAGTCTTAAAAGACAGAACATGATCTCTTTTTAGAGCAAATGACGTAAGAAAGGAAGGAAATGTGGCAGCAACACAAGCATCTGGATTTGGGACTGCCATTTTCCTCTGCTCTGTTTATATGCTGGAGGCCCGCTGTAATGGGAGTAAAGTCAGAATGACAGATGGTCAAGATCAGAAACTGAACGTCAGTTGTTCAAAAGCACATTACTTCCTAACAGCGAGATAAAATAATAGCTCTCTGAGAGGTTATTAGAAAAAGATTTATGTTTCTAATAAAACACAGTACTTCTACCTACCTTCATAATTCCACAGTTCACTGAAAGGCTTTCCTGGTTCTCCAAGAGGAGCTGGAGGATCATTGAAAAACGGAGCACTGACCTCCATCTTCATGCCCTCGTCCCCTGGACTCAGCTTGATACACACTGGCTCATGCCTCACTGGAAAACCATCCCAAGTGTTTTCAATTTTAAAATCCATCTGAAGAAGCAAATTAAAACAAACTTGTTAACAGCATATAGCACTGCCCTTTACTTGAAAATTGCAATGCCAAACAAGAGACAGTTAGGCAACAAAATGACAAGAACAGGATCCTAGGAGTCATAAGGCCATCTGGGTTGTGACAAATCATGGAGCCAAGAAGATTTATGACTTTTAATCTTGGTGTTGCTGTTTATTTGTAGTATGCAAAAGTCATTGTAAAATGTTATGACTAAGTTCACTGCAGAAATTGTAAATGTACTAACTATGCGTGTTTATGTGTTTTCCATATTTAGCCAAGATTAATTCTTTGTGTAAAAATAAATATATCCATCTCATTAGTATACAACTTTGCTTTTTAACAGATGGCAACATTATATGTGTGTGTATCAGTTATCTGTAAATGTTATTCCATTTTCTTAGCATTTATTAATTGTACAAATGATGGGTTTTATTACGACATTTCATACATGTATATATTATATGCTGATCATCTTCAATCTATACTACCATATCTTGTTCTCCCCTCAATGTTCCCCTTCTTCTACTTTCAAGTATTCTACCTTCATGTATTATCTCTCGTTCTCTTTTTCTTTAATCATTGATAAATTAATGCATACATATTAATATATAAATCCTACCTGCTGAGTCTATTTAGTGTTGTTTATATATTCATACACGTTTTTAGGGCTCACTACTTGGTATTGAAAACCAGTTAGGGGGTTCATCCCTGGGAAAGATGACTCTTCCTCTCTTGGCAGTCATTAATTGCCTATAGCTCTTCAAAGAAATCAAATTGAAGACCCAAATATCAATCTACATACCAGTGAACACCTGCTTTTTGATAAGGAAGCCAGAAATACAGATTGGAAAAAAGACAGCATCTTCAACAAAAGAGAAATGTAAACATGAACCCAGCCACACAACCTTTGATCTACAATGATATCCTGCCTGTCAGATATGCTAGGGCAATGGGAGCACAAAGCTTGAGGCAGTGACCAATATGTGATTTGACTTAAGGCCCACTTCACATGATGGAACACATACCTGACTCTGCTTGAGTGGCCAAGAACAAGGTACCAAATAGGCCATGGACCAAGGGGCAAACTAAATACTGTAAGAAATACAGTGACTCCTCACAACATTCTGCTATACCCATAGATCAGTGCCTCACTCAGCCATCACCAGAGAAACTTCCACTTATAGTAGATAGGAACAAACACAGACACAAGGTTGGACAATATGCAGAGAGTGAGAGATCTTGGAACACCCAGTCTAAAAGGGATGTCTCCAAAGAACCTTTTCCCTCAGAGTTCTGAGAACTTTATGGAAGTAGAAGCAAAATATTGTAAGACCCAGTGAGGGTGGAAGGCACCGAGGAAACAAAGCCTCTAAGACACAACAGGACTGATGCTCACATAAATTTAGAGATGGTGGCAGCATGCACAGATTCAAGCTGGATGGGGTACCGGCTCTGAGATGGGGAAGTAGACATGATCTCACATCCCTAACCAAAAACCAACTGACAACTGTGCAGAAAGGAAAAATTAGTCTTCTCCATTGGAGTTTCACTGAGCATGCAAACTATTCTCAAGGACAGGCCCCATGACCAGTAGTAGATGATCAACTCAAAACGAACCTAACGGTATTTGGGAAGGTGTGTGTGTGTGTGTGTGTGTGTGTGTGTGTGTGTGTGTGTGTAGGTGTAGGTGCTTCTCAAACTTCTTATTTGTTGTTGTTGTTTATCCTTGTTTTTCTGTTCTGTTTTCTTTTTATTATCATTGGTTTTTGGTTTTGGTTTCTTTGTCTGCCTGTTTTCTAAAGAGAGAGAGAGAGAAGGGATGGAGTTGTATGGGTAGGGAGGCGGGGAGGATCTGGGAGGAGATGACGGAGGGGAAACTGTGATCAGAATACATTATACAGAAAAAAATCTATTTTCAAACGATAATGTATAATCTTGCTTACTTAACAATCTAAAGATAACATAAGCTCACAGACAACTAAACCTCCTCTCAACTCCCTTAGCCATTTCCTAAGACCTTACTGTCTTTCTGTTTCTTTGCACACAGGCCAATGAAATAGACATCTTAATTATCCATGGCCTTCCTCACCTGGTGTAACCCTCCCTGCCATTCTCTATTACACTGCACTGATCTAGTTTGATTCACACAACTAATACACATGTATTTATTACCTCACAGTCTAGCGAGAATGCTTGAAGTAGGAGCTATTTATATGTCAAGTGAATACAGCTCTGATGTCCACAACTTAAATTCTGAGTGTACACTTTTAAGCAGGAGAAACACACTGTGCCAGTTACGTCAATGTCTTGTTAAAATCTGTGTATTAATAAGGCATCTAAATCACATCCTTAAGGAAAAGGGGATAGTAAGACTGCAAGAGCCAGAAGTGATGGATACAGGAGCAGACCAGTGTATTCTGGACGTGATAGGACTGCTGTACTCATGAACTCATAGTAGCTGTGGCTGTGTGCAAAAGACCTGGACAAGACCAACTCTAGTGATATTTTGTTTGTAATATAACAAATAAAGCTTGCCTGAAGATCAGAGTGCAGAGTTAAGCCACTAGTTGGCAGTGGCGGCGCACACCTTTAATCCCAGCACTCAGGAGACAGAGGCAGATGGATCTCTGTGAGTTCAAGGGCACCCTAGGCTACACAAGATTGAATCTGTCTAAAAGAAATACAGAGCTCACACAAAGGTGATCCCAGTACTCTGGATTACATGCCTTTAACTCAAGCACTACAGAGGTGGATACAGGAGTGATAGGGCTGGGCAGAGAAAGGTATATAAGGTGGGAGGAGACAAGAGTTCAGATGCAGTCTGAGGATTCAGTCTGAGCAGTCAGTCTGAGGATTCATAAAGAGAGGATCACCCCTTTGGTTTGAGTATTGGTAGAGGTAAAATCTCTACTGGCTGCCGCTCTGCTTCTCAGATCCTTCAGCTTTCACCCCCTAATATCTGACTCTGGGTTTTATTATGAAGAACAATTAGAAAGCATGCTACAATCAATACATACAATATTTCAGCATGAAGGAGATAGGGACTCAAATGTCCCCAACCCCTAGCTGAGGAGCAATTGACAGTTGATGGCTTCTGGGAGAAGAGCTGGTTTTCTTTAAAGATGTGGCCCCTGGTACACTGACCCAGATCCAGTCATGGTCCTATACGCAGGAGTGTATTAGCAGCACAAACAAGATGCAGTGATTCTTTGGGGGAAAAAAGAAGGACATGAAGTTGGAAGGGGCCCAAGAGGCAGGAGTGGGCTCTAGGAAGAGTTAGGGGAAAGAGTATGACCAAATTCATTATATGTGTATAAAAAATTCTGAAAGAATAAATTATGATATATGCATGTATCAGTGTGAACATATTAACTATAGGCACGTGTTATATATAATGTATATGTGTAAATATGTGAACAGCCTTTAATGTATACATGTATATATGGACACAGCTGTAAGGGTGGCTACTGTGTAACATTCAGAAAAAAGACTAAGAAAGAATAATACTAAGGGAAGAGGCAAGACAGATGCAGAAAAGGACACTTGAGTCATCCAAGAATATAAAAGCTACTTATTTTTCTAGCCTAAACTCTGTCATAGGTGTGGGGGCGGGGGTAGAGAAATGCATAAAATTGTAATGGATAGTGAAGGAGTAAAACCTTGAATGAAGGTCCATGGCTCTGGAATGGCCACTCTAACAGTTTGAAGTTAACTGCACTGCAAAATAAAGACAGGGAGTGTGGCTCTGTATGTTTGAGAAGCTACATCAATTTGAGTTCATGACAGTAAAATATTACAAATGATAACTTGAGAATATTTCAGAGTTCAATTTAAGGATAAATGTTGTCAGAGTTTCTGTCCTGCCCAGTCCTATTCTGCCCAGTTCCCATAATCATTAAGTCCCAAAGAAATCACACAGAGGTCTACATTAATTATAAACTGATTGGCTCATTAGCTCAGGCTTCTTATTAACTCTTATAATTTATATTAGCCCATTATCCTTGTCTATGCTAGCCACATGACTTGGTACCTTTTTTCAGCGAGGCAGTCACATCTTGCTTCTTCTGTGGCAGACTCCACACCTGCAGAAAGAGCTTCCTTCTTCCCAGAATACTCCTGTTCTCATTGACCCACCTCTACTTCCTCCCTGGTTGTCCCGCCTATACTTCCTGCCTGGCTACTGACCAATCAGCATTTATTTAAAATATAATTGACAGATTACAATTGTCTCACAGATAAATCTCTTAACTCTTAAGTAGCACTATGATGAAACATTTACAGAGTCAGAATTAATCTTACTAGCCGTTCACCATCCCACTACACAATCTCACTATCAGTTGCTTTAGCTTTCTTAAGACAATGTTGTTAACCTGTAGTTTTCACTTTTAGTTCATCTTCTTCAATTGACACTTTAAAAATTCAATTGTTTTAACTTCTATACATGAAAATGAAAAGTGGTGCATTCACGTAGAAGACAAAAAAAAACACCTTAAAAACTTAAAAGAAAGGTTTTAAAGAATGTTTTTCTATAAAACAATCTCCAAGAAAAATTCCAAGTTCCTTTACTTACAAAAATAAAATCCCTTTTCTATAGCACATACTTCTTTCCAGTTTGTATGCTGCAGTGCAGCACACATTGCTAAAAGAAACCGAGAAGTAAGTCAGAGGAAGCCATGCCAGCTGGAGGCAGGGGCAAAGCAAACTGTCTTTGGTACCAGCGTCTGACAGACTTTAAAGAGGAGATGAGAGGACTTACCAATAGAGCACAGGCCTGGAGGCTCTTCCTTCTAGCCTGGCTGTGGTCTCTGGCCTAGGCCAAAGAAGAGAGCTCCCTCTTAGGCTCCACCCAGCACACGTTCTTAGGGAGGGACTTGGAGTTCTGAAACTGACAAACCCAAGTTTTCAGGGAAAATGTTTCGAGGTCACACAAACGCACATTTGAAGGCTTTTAATCGTACTATTGAAGTCTGGGAGTTTACTGCTATTATTTTGAGAGGGAGGGATAGTTCAGCATTACGAACATGAAAACATTTGAAATTGATCTGTAAATGACTGAGACTGTGTTAAAATATGTAACATAGCAACCCATTTATTTCAAGTAGAAACTAACTATAAACATCAAAACATTAGATATAATTTATATTACATGGTGATTAAAGGTTGTGATATTGAAATCATACTGGACTCAGATCCTTGGTATGATGAACTATCTTGAAACTTGCTTACTTAAACTACAATTTCCTATCTTCTTCAGGTTTATTTTGAGAATACTAAGTGTTTAGTGTCAACTTATTAAAATTAGTAGGGAAACCAGCCATTAATTTTTCAATGCATGGAAGTTCAAATGATTTGTGTTTGACTATGATCGTATAAAATCAAACAGTTTAAATGTAAACGTAAGTCCTATTTCACTATTGAATTCAGACAAAAAAAAACATTCATCATTTCTATATAGAAGTCACACTTTGCTTTTTCCATGCCAATATATTTTATTAATGCTGAATGTAAATATTAAACTTATAGCTACTTACTCAATGCCAACTTACAGTGCAATACAGGGTTCAAATGTAGGTAACTCTCTTTGAGGGGAGGCAGTGAGAAGTTTCATCAGAAAGTACTCTACACTCAAGAGGTGGAGCTTGCACAGCCAGTGTAAGGTATTACGTTAAGTTTATGACCACTAAAAACCAGACCAGGTTCAATCTTCACTTATTCAAAGTTAATTTAAACCCTTGTATGACTGCTACAGACATACACACATTTTAAAGCCATTCTCTTTAGAGGACCGAGGCTAACACTGTCTATGGTATTTTATGGTTACTTAAGTCATCCAACAGGAAGCCCAACAGAACTTCACCCAGAACATACTTTTGTTTTTGGTTTCTGTGTGCCTGTGGGAGAGTGTGTTTGCACCTGTGTGTGGACTGAGATTGAGGTGGGGATGCCATTTAACCTTTATTTCCACCAGGTATTTTTCTCACAGAACAATCTTATTAACACACCTGACCTTACTTTTTGAGTGTCTTGCTACCCTGGAATTTTTAGATTTGTCTAGGCTCCTGGCCGGAGAACGCCCCTTTCCCCTCAACATTCTGTCTGCACCTCCCTAGTACTGGTATTAAAGGCATACAGTGCCCTGCCTAGCTTTTTATATGAGTGCTGGGAATCCCAAATCAGGCAAGCACTTCGTAATCAAACCGAGCCATCTCAGGACCAGGACATATGTAATGAAACTTTTCAATGCATAAAAATATATCAATTAAAAAGGCTCTATAAAGCCAGTGATAGGCTACAAGTAAACTTTTTGTTTGCTATTACTTTCTCCAGTGTGTGTGTGTGTGTGTGTGTGTGTGTGTGTGTGTGTGTGTGTGTG